AAAAAAAAAAAAAAAAAAAAAAAAAAAAAAAAAAAAAAAAAAAAAAAAAAAGACGGGAAATCCTGATTGACTCTGCAGCTTTAAAGGTGGAAAGACGAGAAATCCTAGTTGACTCTGTAACTTTAAAGGTTGAACTTGGCTCAATGACTCTCTTTGCTGCCACTCGAGCTACACCGCTATAAAAGTTAAACATGTTTTACCTAAAAAAATCTTACACGAGGTGATCTCCTAATTATTCTCTTAAAAAATCATGTGAGTGGGGATAAAACGAGATTTTAAAATTGTTTTATAATTTTTTTTTAACTTTAGCCGTTAAAATACAACATTTGAAAATTTGAATATTCTATATTTTAGGGTTAATTTTTTTTAAGCTAAATTAGAATTTTTGCATTTAATCTTAAAAAGTTTCCATTATACCTTTATAAACCTTAAAAAAAATATAAAAAAAATATTTTTAAATTAAAAAATATATATATATATTATTAATTTTTTTTAGATTTAAAAATTTCATTAATCCTTTAAAACTTAAATATATATATATATATTTTTAATTTTTTATAAAAATTAAAAAATATTTAATATTAATACTGTTTAAAAAATATTTATAAATTTTTAAAAGCCATATTTATTCTTAATTTTCTTTTAAAAAAGTTTTAAAGTTATGTTTAAATGATTTAAAAAGGTAAGAATATTTTTGAAAATTTTAAAGAAGTTTAAAGGTAATAAATGAAAAATTAGAAAGTTAAATGGGTATTTATGATCAAATATATTTGTATTAATTTCACTTTTTTTGTTTTTTTTTTTTAATTAAACCATTTTTATTCCGTACTTTTGAGTTTGCAAGGTATTCGGGTGTTCTTCCGCGAGACTCGAAGCCGCCATTGTTCATTTCCAGCTCAGCTTTCTCTTCGTCTTCTTCGTTTCAATTCCAACACTTTCTTGTTCTTTTTCCATTTCACTTCCACCGCCAGATCCGCCTGCTATAGATTCTTACCTTTTAATCTCCGGGGAAGTTGATGATGCTCTATCGATTTCTTAATTTCTGAAAAAAAAAATTCAATTATGGCGTTTCGTACGAGTTCTCCTTCAATTTATTTGTGGAATTCTGGTAGTTTTTCAATGCTATGCGAAATACACTGAGTGTTCAGTAGCCGAAGTCGTTTGACGGTTCTATTTTGCGGTCTGCCTCCAGTCAATTCTTCATTTGGTGGCAGACTCTAGGGTTTCTGTGAATCTTCTCATTTGTTATCGGGATCAGGCTTCTGAAGCAGCAACAGGCAAGTGAAGTATTTTTCTTCCTGGTTAATATGTCTTTAGTGTTGATGAATTATCATTCCTTCACAAAAAACTACTAATTTGATCCTGTAGATAATTTCTGCACGCACCTTGGTGATCAATTTTCAGAATGGGGGAAGTGGTTCCTATCTACTACAGCATTATTGCGTTTATTTGCACGGTTGGAGCCATTGCTCTGGCAGTTTTTCATATCTACCGGCATCTTTTGAACTATACGGAACCTACTTATCAGAGATATATCGTGCGGATCATCTTTATGGTCCCGGTTAGTTTTCCTTCCTCCCATTTTGTATATATTTAAGAACGGATCCTTCGGGTTTTTTTTTGGTTGTGGTATTGTTTTGAAGCTTCCTTGTTGACATTTTCATGCTTGAAGATCATGTATCTCTGATTTATGCACAACTACACATTATGTTCCTTATGCTTGATTCAAGCTTGAGTTTCTTGATTTCACGACAATTTATACACTCGTTCATTTGTTGTTTGTTTTTCATTTTGTTATCCTGTGTGCATTCTTAGACATTCTACTTCACATGATATTATATTATAAAATAATATATTATTTGTCCGAGGAGGAAGCTCAGTTGTTGGAAAATTTCAAGAGTCTAACTTCTGACCATAGAGGAAGGTGAGTATAGATTTGAAAAGTGAGAGAGGCAGTTTGTTTAGCTTTTTCTCAAGATGTCTTAGCCTCCATTCTTATCTTCTTTCCAAATTCCATCAAACTAGCATAACTTTGGAGAAAATTCCGGAGACTTCAATTGGGAAAGTTCAAATATTGAAAGTGGAACTGTTTAGATAGCTTGGATTGGATTTCTTTGACCCTGGATAAAGGATGTCTAGGCTGTAAATATTTGAAAAGAAAATGATGCTCGTTTGAAGGAGATTTCTCTGAGAAGGAGAAGAGCTTCTTGACAGTTCATTATGAAGAGAAAATATGGATCCATTCCCGTCGTTTGGTGTACTAACAATGGCATTTTTTTTTTATTAAATTAAGAAATGATTTGTCGATTTTAGTATTATTTTTTACTGCTATGGTTATTATTAGCACCACATTCATTAAGGAAATGTAAGAAATACGATAGAAGTCACAAAAAACCAGGGCAACAATAAGGAGCAACCACCGTAAAAAATTGAGAGAAAATTTCAGAAGGAAAACAAGTTGCAGCTAAAATTCAAAGGGAAGTAATGAAATGAGCATCAGAATGGACATCCTCCTACACTTTCTCCTTCCCTTGAAATGCCCTTTTCTATCAAGCCCAAGATGCTCCG